CATATGGAATATAAAAGATGTAAAATGAGACGCCGAAGACGACTAAGTAATAAAACATGGGGGGTGCCATTTAAAAAAATGAAGTTATGGTACTTCCAAATTTTGAAAAGTTAACGTGCCATAGTAAAGTGATCAAACGTTCTAGACCGCAGTTCTCGGCACTAAAACATACTCCATCATGTTGCTTAAGCATGTTCTCAATCCTAAATTGATATCCCAAAAATTGAGTGTTTTCTGATTTTTTGAACAAATGTCTGCTGGAGCAGACTTTTCTAGAAAAAATCGAATAACTCGAGAACGACCGAATCAAATTGCAAAAAGTAAAGTTATTTATAAACCTTGAAAACAGACAAATCCAAATATGTAAAAATATACAGGGTGTTCCATTTAAAAAAAATCCGGTATAACCGGAAGTGCTAGAAATCTGAAAATATTTTAGACGAAGAGAACGTAATTGATAATACTTAAACATTCACAAATTTTTTATTTGGTCAGAACCCCAGAAACGTCTAATGATCGGTCTCGCTGAGACACTCTGTATAAGTATTGATTTATCATGGTATTTATGATGGATTTATCGGATGGAAATGGATCGTATATCGAAAAGCATAAAAATCCATCACATTCGTACGCAATATCGTTAAAATTGCTTTTTATGGCTTGAATGGACCCGGGACCAACGTGCTTCGTTTGGGATGTATGAATTTTCCGCACATGTTCGGCCGTTGCAAAAACGAGCTTCGATGGGATTGTTCGAACTTTTTTATTTGTAGACAAGGTTTCGAGTCCGTGTCCGAACAGTGATTCTATTACGACCGAAGTTTCGCACGCCATCATCATCGTTGATTTTTTTTTTTCGACTCCCACTAATTGATGCGTCGCTTTCGTTTGATGTAAAATGACAGAAAATAAATGTCGAAACGAAAAAGAAAGAAGTAAGTAGATAAAATAGGTTGGATGATTTGGTGGAAAAATCTTAGAGGCGGATGGTCGAGTAATCCCGAAAAGTAATCACATCGTATCGGGGGATATTAAAGTCGTTCGATGCTCTGATTTATGGCGCCGGAGTCGCGACTGTTCTCTTTCTGCACATAGAAATGGCTCGACGATAAATTTTAAAGCCAGAAGCGATGTCCTCGGGACACTTGAGGCTCACCATCTTGCCTCAGACAACTCACTTTAAGAGTTTTAAGAAAATTGTGTAAATTGTTATGGAAGATTATCTTGTAGGTGGGTGGGTAGTTGAAATTGAAAATGTCTTTATGTAAAGGTAAAGATAATTTAAAATGGAAAATTGATAGTGGTCTTGTGATAAATTTGTAAATTTTCATTCGAAACCGTCGCAAAAATTCATTTTCCAGGACCGAAACGATAAATCGGTTTGGGTACCCGGGTGCACCGGCCCTTGATTTGCGTCCGGAGATTTCAGCCAATTCGCTCTATATATTCGCAGTGAAAGAAACGGGTTTCCCGTTTTTATTGTCCGCTATATTTCAAACCGCAATCTAGCGCGTTGGCGGCGCGAGGTTTTCGACGCCCGTATTGAAATCGTGGGGGACCTTCCGGATATTAAAAGTAACATATCATATAAATTTGAGTGACCGCGTCCGGTAATTGTTTCACGCAAGAGATATGGCCGAACAGGCCGGCTATTTTTATAACAAACTTTTTCAATTTCACACTCTGCCGACGCCGTCGCGCGACGATAAAAACCTTTCGACCGTCGGAAAATCTACCATCTCAGTTCTGAAATCCCTCTACCTCCGATTCTAACAAAACTGCGTTGGAATTTTAATTTCCAAAGTAAGTTATTCATGGAAAAATGACTGGATATTTTCTTTTCAAACATCATCCCATTCAAAAAACGAATTCATTTAAAAATCTCGTTCCAAAAAACTATTTCTTACCATAATTGTAATAAACATTGAATTTTATAACTAGAGAGATTACATAAACGTCCTTTTCGTCCTCCCCACAATTTGAACATTGTTACTGGGACCATAAAACATATAAAAATTCTCGCTGACCCCATGATATCGCGTTTTACCCGGCACCTCCGCCATTAAGGTCAGCTAGGTCCCAACCCTCCAATCCTAAAATGCTAACACAGATATGCATCGTCCTGAAAAAATGGGACTTTTTTGCAATGTTTACGATTTTCGTGTGTTCAGTAAACCATAACTTGTTGATTGAATGATGAATCATCATAAAATTTTTTTTGCATGAAAATTCTAAATTGGGTGGGCGAATTGTCTTAATGAAAAATAAATCTTTCGTTTCGCAATTTGGCTTCTAGCACGAATGCGGCATTTTAATTGCGGTACCTTTAATAATTCAATCAGCCGCCGTCGATAGTGACAGACCCCACCTGAACGGCCACAATACATTTCAGCTGACGCCGCCGTGCTGCTCCAAGGACATCAATCTATCCGGATGTCGATCTTTCTGACGGACGTGGGCGGTGGGTCGTTTCTGGCCAACGCGGGTTAGATCGACTTATTAATGAAAACCGCGGGAAATCGGTCGCGGACGCAGGTGTTTTCTTGTATATTAATTAAGAGACTGGTGCGGACCGGTTTGGCTAATTTGAAATGTAAAACAGGTGCGGCTCCGGCGCCTCGCTCAGGAATTGGATCCAGTAAATTATAGCTACTATGTGGATTTTTAACTTTGTGAATAATATATTTCCTGAAAAGTTTTCAAAACTCTCTCTCTGGAATCCAACCTGCATTATATTAAAATATTATTAACTTGTAACATAAATTTATCCCTTCCCCTTTTTTGTTTCTCTTTTCTTTGGTTTACAATAAAAATTGATTATTTTGATAAAGTTTGGTTGGTTTAACACTAAAAAGCGTTTTAAATGAAAATTTTTGATTTAGTTACTGTGGAACACCCCGGGGCGATAAATCACGCTCGATACCGGCGGAAAGAAATAATTCTCCCCAAAACGACTCCGGATCCGATAAGCAGCCGCCTCCAACGTACGGGCGGAGGGCAACAGAGCACGGGCGGCAAAAGAATGCAATTAACTCCGGCTCTAGATAACTTGTTCATCCCTCAGCGATTACAGATATATTAGTGCAAATGGCGCGCACGGCGACTTCTATCCCATCGTTCCTTCAGTGATATACTGCCGATTGCCAGAAGCCCTTATTTCCTCTCCCTTATTATATTTACTACCGAACCGAGGAAATTCGTAAAGACCGAGTTACATTTAATTAAGAAAAACTGCTAATTGTGGTCATTCGAAAAGGACATCTTATCGGTCCTTCCTTAATTTCAACCCTTTGTAGAGTGGTTATAACATATTGTTAAATAACTGAATCATTATGTTTCTTGGTGTTATTATGTTTATTTGATAATTATGGTAATTCTTCTCTATACTCTTCTTTGTTGATTGCGTTGAGTTGACTCACGTGAATCTTCAACCTGTTGTTAGGCTTGGAAATAATGAGACTCTCTCTTAGAATATTTCCTACTAGAGAAAAATGTAGATTGTTTCCGTCTTTTTGACATGTCTCCTGATTAGATTTTGGGCGTGGTGGTTGGCCCTTTGCGTCGTTATCACATATTCACCGAGATTTAGAACTTCATTAGCAAAAGTTGAGGAATGCTGTTATTGGTATTTTTTTGGATGATGAATTCTACATTCATAGAAGTGGCAGAAACCTCCAGTTGTGTATTAAGTTCAGTATGTCATCTTTCTCCGAAGTTATACAACCATCGGATTAGATTTACGTTCATTTCTTTGAGACTGATAACAGTTTGGTTGGAAAACATTATACAATGATGTCTGTGTATGAACGGTTCGTTGAGAAGCTAAAAATTAAAAATTATAGATTAGAAATTATAGAACACAAAGAATATCTACAGACCATACATACCAAGGAACCATGCCCAGGCATGACCATATAGAATTGCAAAAAACCGCTTAAAGTATACAGAAATTGTTAGAAGTTATTTGTGATACACCGGGAAGTTCATATAATTTGCAATATATGAATGCAGTAACCATAGTTACGATACCACTATCCACTTGCACTGTCCCACATAAAATGCAACATATATAGTTCATTTCTTTTCTATAATACCTGTCAAATTGTTGTAAAGTTGGCAAAACTAACAGGGAGTTTTGTTATATGTTTTGAAATAAATATGTCACACTGACGTTTAAGCTTTCGTTATTCAAAAAGAAAACGTGCATAAAAAAATGTTGTGGGGTGTGTATTTGGCATTTATTTACCTACAAAAGGTGTTTTGTTCTATTTAATTACTATGTATAGCACGTTTTTACAATAAATTTGTACTTGATTAAAATCGTATTTATCTAAAAATTTATTAGTGTTTTAACCTCAATTATTTAGTTACTGAAAATGTTGCTAAAAATCAGGAAAACAACATAAATTTTATAAGGGTCATAGATAATGCCAACAGAAACCCTAAAAAGTTTACATTGACAAGTATTATAGAAAAAAAACGAACTATAGCTTAATGGTGCAGGCATTGGGTAATTTTACAAAGACAAACTTTTGCTTGGAAAAAGGTGACACTTTATGACAATTTGAATATGAAAATAAAACACAATTTATGAACTTTACACTTGCAGAGATTATTTAATTTATATCGGAACCGGTTTCGATGTTTATAACTTCATCTTCAGCCGAAAATGTCAGAAAGTGAAGCCAACAGGTATAAACATATGAAAATTTGAAATGTTGAAAATTTTAAATCATGAAATTACAGCCAGAATATAAAATATGCGTCGTTAAATTTTAAAAATCAAAATAGAGGAGATATTAAAAAACGGCGTGGTCCGTTATAACAATATTACAATGAAATGAGTCATAAGTGATATTTGAATATAAAATTTCTTGAAAAAATATAGCAAACGAGGTATTAAAGATCAGATGTCACCATCTTGGCGGAGCGAGAAGAATTATGATAACCCTAACTTGACCTTGAACTAATACTAAAATTAGAACTAACACTAGACCTGGAACTAGAAACATTCGTGTTTAGTCATCTTAAGAGACTCACGGCTAAACCCGAATGTTTCTGGTTCTAGGTCTAGTGTTAGTTCTACTTTTCGTTCAATAAAAATATACCACAATATAACGCTGAATAACAATAAAAACTAGAACTAACACTAGACCTAGAACTAGAAACATTCGGGTTTAGCAGTACGTCTCTAAATACGGCTAAACCGATAGTACTAGTGCAATACTAGAACTAATACTAGACCTAGAACTAGAAACATTCGGATTTAGCCGCACGTCTTCCAAGACGGCTAAACTCGAATGATTCTAGTTCTAGGTCTTGTGTTAGTTCTAGTGATAGTGCTAATGTAAAACTAGAACTAACACTAGGACTAGAACTAGAAATATTCGGATTTAGCCGCACGTCTCTCAAGACGGCTAAACCCGAATGATTCTAGTTCTAGGTCTTGTGTTAGTTCTAGTATTGAACTAGTACTATCACTAGAACTAACACAATACCTAGAACTAGAATCATTCGGATTTAGCCGCACATCTCTCAAGATTGCTAAACCCAAATGTTTCTAGATCTATGTCTAGTGTTAGTTCTAGTGCTAATGTTAGTTCTAGTTTTAGTTGTTATTACATTATTGTATATTTGTGTTGAACTAAAACTAGAACTAACACTACACTTAGAACTAGAAAGTGTCGAGTTTAGCCGTGCGTTCTTGAGAAAATTTGCGTATGTCTGAGCTTAGGATACAACTTGGTTAATATTAGGACACATTTTATTCACTCGATAAACTCGATACTTTGTAGTTGTAGGTCTTGTGTTAGTTCTAGTTTTAATTCAATAAAAATATGCAACATAGTTATATTTTATGCTAACTAGCGCTACCTACCACCTGCCAGTCGTTCTAGTGTTAGTTCTAGTCTAGTTTTATTTGTTATTCAACGGTAAATTGATTGAGCTATAATGGACATTGCGTCCCCGTATTGATCCGTTATATCGAGGTTTTATTATAATGTCAAATTATATTGACATGTTGCATTTTATGTGGAACAAAGTTAGTAAGAAAGCCCTGGTTTCTATGGAAATATATTTTTGTATATTGCATCTTAAGTGAAATTCACTGTATAATAATAACAATATATTGATCATCATAGTTGAGAATATAAACAAGTTTGAAATGAATATACAGGGTGAGTCAGAATGAATGGGAAATCCGAATACCGGACACACTAGACACCAAAATATGAAAATTTACCTAACATCTCTTATACAAATGTCTGTGGTTTTCAAGGCACAGGGTGTTAAAAGTTAAATTCTTATTTCGAAATTTCTTGATAATTTTGAAGCGTTTTGTATCATTAACATAAAATTTGGTAGTTATATGTTTTCGAGCATGAGAAATATGATTTTTTTTTCCACTGGTTTCCAAGTTATCTGCTTTTAATTGTTTCAAAGTAATTTTAAGGTTAACATTTCAAATCAATAACACAGTAACTATAGCAATTAGTAATGATAATAATCGATAACAATAACAATTAATTAATAGTAATAGAATGTTGTGACCAAGGACAGTAGAATCAGTAGAACGGGTTGGTTGCCCGCACTCTACGTCACACTATTTGCCACGCCCTGTTAACTGTCATTCAGTACTGTGCGTTTGCTGTGTGTTTTTAGAGATTTAGAGGTTACATGATAGACATTAATACGTCTAAAAAATAAAACTTCAAAAATAATATGAATACGTCTACGATATAACCTCTAAAACCACAGCAAACGGATAGAGCTGGGCGTGGCAAATGGTATGACGTAGTTTGCGGGCAGGTTGTCACAACAATGGATGTAGCAGTCCTGTTAGATTCTACTGTCCTTGGTTGTGACCATATTCAAAAATCCGGTGGATTTAAATTTAGATTTCTCACTATTAGAAAACTCATTATGTCGTGGCATTTTCAAATTGGTAATAACTTTATTGTTGGTAAACATGATTATTGCACACGGAAATTAGTTGACAATTAACAAGCAATTCGAAACATGAGTTGGCTTACTTTTCCGGTAAGCCAACTTTGCTTATGTTAAAAAATAAAAATTTTAGAAGAAAAAATACATTTAAACATTTAAAAGTAAATAATTCGAAAACCGATAGACTGAGACAATTTAAATAAGAGTACCTTTTTTATGTAAAATTGAATGCTCTTTGTGATTTGTAACTCTTATTGGTCGTAGCTCGACACCCAAAAAACTTATGATTTGATTTATCAAACGAGCAGTGTGTATCTAGCTAAAATTATCAAGAACTTTCGAAATAAGAATTTAACTTTCAACATCCCTGACATTTGTATAAGAGATGTTAGGTTAAATCATCATACTTTGGTGTATAGTATTTCCGGTATTCAGATTTCCCATTCTTTCTGACTCCCCTGTATAAGAAATATTTATTGAGAAAGAAGTAATTCAATAAATATTCTGTTCGAATATATCGCTAGTTTGGATGTGAATAGGCGCGTTACGTTGAGGTTGGTTTGAGTACGGATAAGTTGTGTTTAGTTTTGGTTGGGTTTGATTTGAGTGTAGCAGGATGCAAGTTTATAGCTTTTATGTATGGGGTTTTTTGCAAATTAGAGTATTGTATGTCAGTTAAAATAACTTTCCTTAGCTAGCTAGCAAGAAATCAATTTAATTGGAAATTGTTGTCGCCTTATTCTCTTACATATATCTATCATATATAATCTTTCTTGAGATCTCTCTCTCGAAGATTTCTATCCCAATGTTCGAATTAACGTCCTGGTCTCACAGACACATATCATTATAGGCTTGAAAATTGTTTTATAGATCCGGAGCTACATTCCAAGACATACAAATTGTTTCAAGAGCTATGCTTGACCTAGTTTGCATCATTACAAAAATATGTACTTATAAATTCTACAGCAAAATTTGCTTCAAACTTGACTTCAATTCTTGAAAGTTCCGAATTAATCTTATAATTTTATTTTCAATAATCAATCATTTTGGAAAAGCAATACATTTAGATTATCCCATAACACAATAAATTACATAACACAAATTCGTTTTGAACATATAGATTTTAAAATAATCGAACGAATCGTTTAATAATCGTTTTACAATTCGAGCGTAATCCTTTCGTTCGATTAAATTTCAATATCGTTACGCACACGCTGAGCGGGGAAAACAAACCCGATTTTCTATCATGCACGCGGGCGAACTGGCGGAAATGAACGTAAATAACGTACGTAAGTTGTTTTTGGAATGGAAAGGGGTTGGTCAAGTAAGAACTCGGTAGCTTTGTTCCGCAATAAATATGATAATCAGGTGCAAAGAACACGGTAGACGCTAATCATACTCTAGCTGCTGATGGTCAGAACGCATGTTCTGTCTAGTTTTATCCGCTTGGTTAAACATTACCGCAGGAATTATCTGATAGAGGGAAGATCACGAATGCCCTATTTACACGATCGTTGCGGTGCACCGTTATTACTGGGAGGGTTTGAATAAATTTGTATTCGACTGACACCTAGTTATTTTCACTGGAACATAAGCATGAATTAAAGTGTAGAAATTTATTTGTGTACGTATTAACTAGGACGTTTTAAAATATGTTTTGTTTGTAAAGTACGAAGGTGGGGATTTTACAAAGGAACAGTGGCAAAAACGCAAAGACTTCAAAAAAAAATATTCAAAAGTGGACGTGTTTGCATTTCATATCGGATCGGATTCAAAGAGCCAAAAGTAATAAAGCGCTCTCTTGTAAGTTTTCCCGGTCCACCGGCGTCTGGGAAGTTTCCGCGCTGAGAAACCGATATGGAAAACGTCAGGAA